GAGAGAGAGGGAGAATGCAGAAGCCGAGCGCCGCGCTCCCTGTTGTCGGCTTGACTGGGAAATGGTAGCGTACTGCAGGGACCGCACTTGGAAGGAACATGGTCGAGAGGAGCAGCAAATTCTTGTTGATCGTCGTCGGATCCGTGTGTTTCATGCTGATTCTCTATCAGTACGTGGCTCCCGGGGTGATCAATTTCGGCTCCCCGCACGGTTATTTCACGGAGGAAGACGAGGGGGACATCTTCCCGACTCCGGACCCCCACTACGTTAAGAAATACTACTTCCCCGTCAGGGACCTGGAGAGGACGATCGATTTCCAAATCAAAGGAGAGGACGTGATCGTGTTTTTGCACATCCAGAAGACCGGGGGGACTACCTTCGGCAGGCACCTGGTCCAGAATGTCCGTCTGGAGGTCCCCTGCGACTGCAGACCGGGCCAGAAGAAGTGTACCTGCTACCGGCCGAACCGCAAGGAGACCTGGCTCTTCTCCCGGTTCTCCACCGGCTGGAGCTGCGGCTTGCACGCCGACTGGACCGAGCTCACCAACTGTGTGCCGGGGGTCCTCAACAAGAAGGAGAACAAACAGAAAAATCAAAGGTAAAACTGGGAGATGTTTTTATTGACTGTGTAGTTTTCTGAGGAGTTCCTAAGTGTGAGATGTAGGTTGTAACCTGTAGGTACAAATTGGGAATCTGTTGTAACTCTTTGACACATTTTTGTCAGGATCATATCTTAACTTTTCAACTCGATTCCTGTGTTTTATTTAATGTAATTTTACATGTGTGTTGCAGCGAGAAAATAAGGTCACTGTGAACTCACAAAGCTGGAAGTTTGTGTTTTCTGTGGGATAAGAGTCAAATCATCTAACCACACTAAACAGAAAATTAAATATAAAATTAGTAAATGAATACCACACTCTATCCACAGTTTCTCACACATCTTTGTCTGGTTTTACAAAAGATCCTTTAATGCAGGCGTATTCCCCTGGAGAGCCAATTATAATAGTTGTAATCTAAAGGTACATTTGACAGAAAATATCAAAACCCTGACATGAGTTTGCAGCTATTTGTGGTCTGATTTATGCCACAAAAAAATGTAAAAGTGACACCAGACAGGATTAAACATAACAAGAACGTAATTTTAAACCCATAACTGAATTCCACACAGGCACATTAAAGTTTCTACGGGGAGTTAATGGATGTAATTGGTCGCCGTGTTATCTTAAATCAAAGGTCTTTCTCCTCGCTGGGTGGGACAGTGTTATCTTTTACAATATTAAAAAAAAGAAGAAGAATGGCAAAGGGGGTTGGGTGCATCGTCCTGAAAGAGTGGGTTGAGAATAGATGCTGAGAGACAAATGTTGATTGACTTTTCTACACTGCGCTGTCACGAATGCCACAGGAGTTGAACAGTGTCAGGGACAATTGTTGATGGGTGCCAGTATCCGGGTGCCCTCCCACAGAATCACACACTCCGATTTGTCTGAACTTATTTCAGGCATGGGGGGAGTGTAATACATCCAGGCAACATTTCCACTCAGTAATCATAATCCCCCGCATTGATTGACTGCGAGGTATCCAGACACGATGCGCATTCTTATTAAGTTATAACCCATTTCTTTCTCCGCGCCTCCCCATTGTTGTTGCCAACATATTACATCCCTCACCCAGACATATTGACGGCTATATCAACTTCCATTTCACTGCACCCTTGTGGTTAAAGGGGATGATTGTTGAATGGGTTACGTCTCTTTGTATTGCTTGAGCTTGTTCAATATTTTATTTTGTCTATGGATGATCAATAGGACAAAGGGGGGAAGGAGGGGAGGGTTTGAAATACATGGGGATTGTAAAAGAAAGAAGTGTTGTTTTTTTTTTTTCGCCGATCTGTCTGCCAGCCCGGGCGCGTTGGTTGGAGATGTCAGTCCGGCTGCTCAGCTTCCCATGGCTGCTCAGACTGGGGATCAGAGCTGCAGGCTGGGCAGGGCTGGGCTGGGCCGACAGGAGTGGGGGAGAGAGAGAGGGGGGGGACCCTGGCGGGGGGTTTGGCTCCGCTCTATCCGCGGGACTTACTTACGCTGGGAGCACACCACACACACACACACACACTAGCGCTGGTATTTGCTGCTGGCGTCAGTCCCTGACTCCCGTGGTTTCCCCTGGTCAGAGGTGATAACGTGTCCGGCCATTTTGCATGGCGGGTTGAGATATCACAGTGGATGCAGGATAAACAGCCTTTCATCACTTTTTTTTTTTTTTTTTTTGTGTGTGTGAGAGCACTGTTTCATGCATGGGTGTGTATTTATGTGTGTTGCGGTGCACCTGAAGAGGCCGCGGGAACATAAAGAGACAGGAAGGCAGAGTGGACGAGAGAGGTCCGGGTATGCATGCATGGGTGTGAGTGCAGCACAAAAAAGGATCTTTTGCCTCTGGTATAATTGACTATACTATCACTCCTGACAGGAGAAACAAGGGACTATAAGTTTAATAGCACCCTGAAGGAAAACAATGCTGCTCCATATTACACACAGCTCCACTTGCACAGGAGAGACAAGCGAATCGCTGCCACGAGAAGCACTGAGGAGAAACCGAAAGTGATTTTTGTTCCTCTTTTTCTGTCTCATCGCCTGCCTTTCTCTCTGCGCGCTTCTGTCGGTGTATATTCAAGTCTCCTTCGCCGTTTGGCTCCCTTGCATCACTGTAGCAATGCTTGTTTAGGGACATTTGTCTTGAGGGCAGTAGCATTGTGGTGCAGAGGCCAGAGAAAGTGTGAAAAAGATCATCTGTGTTTACAGAACGGTGGTGAGGGATTTCTTGGCGCGGTGTTGTACACATAGCTGTCAGATCAGCTGTGCGTATTGTCAGTGTGGAGGAGATAAACAATCTGTAGCCCCAGCCAGTGGCGTGACAGATGTACAGTTTTTTTTTTTTTTATACGTGTTCTGACACACGGCATACCTGTTCACTTTTTGGAGGAAGTGGTTTGGAGGTGTGTTTTTCAACTGTGAGAGGCAGAGAAGAGGAAACATCCCATCTAGAAATCTTTAACCTCGCAGCAGCGGCAGTTCCAGTGTTGAGATCCAGCATCTCTCTGCAGCTGTGTTCTCGTCCAGCTGTCAAGTGAATTTTACACCAACGTTTCAAATGCTGCAAAAAAAAAATAAACTGTGAATTAGGACCATTTCCATCAGCTGCATCCAAGCACATGGATGTCCTGAAACACAACTCACAAGGGAAAGAGGGGGAGAAAGTACAAATAGATTCAGGAATAGGAGGTTATTAGTACTTTCATTCTACGGTAAGAACAGGTATTTTCATTATTGGTTAACCATGATGCCAGAAAATGGTCTAAAAAGTTCTCGTCACAAGTTTGCAGAGCTTATGTTGACAGATTTGCTTGTTTCATCTGACTAACAGTGCAAAAGAGTGATTTACTACTATTTAAAAAAAAAAAAAACTATTGAGCTGTTTTTTTTCTATTACTACTTTAACATTTTCCAAGACCTGTTGCTGTGTATTATTCATTGATTCTACAGATGGGTCCGCGTTGCTCTGTATTGCATATTATATATATTTCATAATGTTCCTACTTCAAGAGGGCATCAAAACTTTATCGAGACATTGAGGAAATTGGATTGAATATGGTGCTTTTTCAAATTCAGTGTATCATAAATTGTGGGAGAGGAAAAAAAAAATGCTATGATGGATTAGGCTTAGTTTGGTCTGGTGACAAATGTGTCAGCTTTAGAGGAAGGCGCATTAAGTAGGAGCGAGCGGCAGTGAGATGAATGGTTCGTAGTAGGAGAGACAGGTCTGTCTTTGATTGGTGATGAGATGAGATCGAGATGAACAGTGGCATTGTGGGAGAAAAAGGACTCACATACTCAGCAGAGAGCCACTCAGACGGGATTTGTCACTTCCCACCTCTTATATCAGTTTTAATGTTTTTCACGGATCCCATGGGACACACACTAATACACACACATAGAAGTACACACACTTTAATGAGTGTGTGTGGAACAAACAGACACAGGACCCTGATGCAAGGCCTCAGATATGGGGCTTCTAATTGGTTAAGGAGGTTCCTATCACTTTACTCAAATTAGAGCCACACTTTCAGATGGAGGATACCATCTGTCCTGTGCATGTGTGGTGTGTGTGTGCGCACGCATCTCCAGGACCTAGTGTGTGTCTGTGTCCGTGTGTTGCGGTGTGTGTGTGTGTGTGTCTGTTTTTAATCCTAGTGTGTCATAGAGCGTCTTAGTAAGCAAAGTGATGGGGCTAATTTTACTGCCTCTATCTCGGCCCTCTCGAATCACTCCCTGTTTTTTCTCTCCATCTTTTTCTCTCCCGCCTCCTCTTCATCCCCTCTACTTGCCTCTGAAACACTTTCCCTCCCTCTCCTTCCATCCTTTCTCTCCC